TGTCACTATCGCAAAAGTTGCTATTGATATATAAGAACCATTGTGATGGTGACGTCATTAAATGCATATTTTATATGAAATTACAGAAATCACAGACGTCTGCTTGAAAATTGTATTGGTGCAAATTGATGCTACCATTGTCCCCAATACAAAAACAATATTTAGAAAACCTCTTTACAATCTCTTTAATAACAATTTCAGTTTATTTTATTCTCTAAGTAGCCAATTATCAGTTATTCTTCTTGCACAATAATGATATCACAGTACTGTTGTAGTCTGTAAAGCACTACTTTGACTTACTCAATGCACCAAAAAACTGGTTCGAATTCACACTTGTATTTAAACAGGCCGGTGTGCTACAGGCTGTGCATATTAAAGATTCCTCGACAGTTGGAAATCGAAAAAGAAATAAAAATTAATGGAGTTTTACATCCTACTTTTCTGCACCTTATGGGCTAATGAATACGGGCAACGCCATGCAGAGTATAATGAGGATGATTTTTCTAGGACAGCATTAGCCTGCCCTTTTTTTCGATTTGCTGCCTTCGAGTGATCTTTAATGTGCACAGCCTGTAGCACACAAGGCCTCGGTTTATTGTCCCATCCTTTAGGTTAGTGAGCAAGCGTCTAACTCACTGAGCCATCCTGGTTCCCTGAACATAACACAGCAAGAAAAATAAAAAATATAAAGATTAGAATGGCTGTTATAAGTTATAAAGGTCGAGTGTAAAGTTTTGGAATATCTGTTTTAAGTTATGTTAAGATCTATAAAGACTGTGTTTGTATTAAGTTGAAGTGATAAAAGTACTGATAACCTTGTCTCATATTACTAGAATATTTTACTACTAACATTTTCTACTAGAACCTTACTTGGTGCTTTTATTACTCACTTCTTTTATTTTCTTTTATCAAAGCTGCACCTGTATTCATTCTACGATTGCACCTATGAACTGAAGCACCTTTTCACATTTTACAAAACTATCTTATATATTATTGCCTACAAGCACAAGACCTATTAAAAATAAAGAGGAATTCAAAAAGATATTTGAATAATTAGTAAATGAAAAAAGATGATGTTGCAACTCGTGCAATTTTGAATCTGATTAATTCACTTGAAGTTCTCTTTTGATTTCCCCAAAATCAGCATCCTAATGAAGTAAATTAAACATGAAATGTATAAAATATCTACAGTGTAGACAAACAGCTGAATTTTGTTGTGTGGAACTGTTTGAAGTGCTAGTTATATAAAACTATATAGCGTATAATAAAATACATATAGACTGGAGTAGACTCTTCTCTAGTTTTATTTATACCACCTGGTTACCTACTCCATCTCATACATAAATACATTATCACATTTCATGTCAAATTTCACTCTTTATTCATTCATTCATTCATTCATTCATTCATTCATTCATTCATTATTCCTTTCATTATTTCTTTCATTCATTCTTTATTCCTTTCATTCTTTCTTTTCATTATTTCTTTCATTTTTCTTTTTCATTATTCCTTTTCATTGCTTCTTTTCATTATTACTTTTCATTGTTACTTTCAATATCCTTTCCATTATTCCGTTATTATTCCTTTCATTATCCCTTTGAATATTTCTTTTCATTATTCCTTTTCATTCTTTATACCTTTTCATTCATTAATCCTTTCATTATTCCTTTTCATTATTCCTTTTATTATTTCTTTTATTATTTCTTTTATTATTCCTTTTCATTATTCCTTTTCATTATTTCTTTTATTATTCTTTCATTATTCCTTTTCATTATTCCTTTATTATTTCTTTCATTATTCCATTTCATTCTTCCTTTTCATTATTTCTTTTCATTATTACTTTTATTATTCCTTTTCATTATTCCTTTTATTATTCCTTTCATTCATTCATTATTCCTTTCATTATTCCTTTTCATTATTCCTTTTATTATTCCTTTCATTATTCCTTTCATTATTCCTTTTCATTATTCCTTTTATTATTCCTTTTCATTATTCCTTTTGTTATTCCTTTTCATTATTCCTTTTCATTATTCCTTTTATTATTCCTTTTCATTATTCCTTTCATTATTCCTTTCATTCATTCATTATTCCTTTCATTATTCCTTTTAATATTCCTTTCATTCATTCATTATTTCTTTTCATTATTTATTTATCATTCCCATCATGCATTTTTATTATGCTTATTATTGCACTTATTAAGTTATTCATTGTTTTGTTCATTAAATAAATAAATTGTTCATATCTAAAAGATAATGTCCGCAATTCTAATTTTATAGAAATGCACTCATTGAATCATTCTATCATTCATGTATTTATTCAGGTTTTAATTTGAGTAATTAGATGTTAAGTTGCTAATTTTTAAATCATCATTCATACACTCTTTAAATCATTATTGTTTCTTCTCATATGGATACTTTTTCATTCATTTCTTCATACATAACTATGTCAATGAATTTAATCAAAGACCAGGTCTGCCATCCATCATACTTTATTAGTCTAAGAAACAGGATTTTTTTAGTTGAGATAATCAGTAATAGTGTCCAAGGCTTACTTTCAAAATTTGAACATTCAAATCCATGTGTGTCCGGGATTAAATCCACTTTTTGAAAGTTAAAATGAGGACTTGTCTTTTCTTGAGACTACATCTACAAAATATATAAATATAGGAAGTGAAATTTCTGGTTGAAGATATTTATGAAGAGATTACACAATTTTGGTGCAGTTCTAGTACTTCTAAAGACTAGTTATGACCCAAATCAAAGCCGAAAATGGTGAACTATGGCCTTGGATACACTGCCATAGCTCACAAAATGTAATCAGTAATGATTGATAATTGATCGTCTTTATTTCAGGTCCAAGATTAAATGGTCATGTGGAACATAAAAGACATCGAGAACTTCGTCATGCTTATCATGATAATTCTACTGTATTTAGTAGTGATTTAGAATCTACCAGTTTCTTTGATTCAGAAGATGATGGAAGGTGAGCATCATTTGATATTTTAGTTGTGTTCAGCCTGTTTGTACAAGTGTCAGCGCCAATAGTCTTCGCAGCTCACCATCTTAATTTGAGCCTTCAAATCCATGTGTGTCTGGGACTTTCAGCTTTTGAAATGAAAATGTTGACTGGTCTTTTCTTGAGACAAAGTCTTATATAGAAAAGATGTAATAAATAGCCATATGTAGAATATGGAACATGAGAGCCATTTGTCCCCTTAGAAAAGTAGTGGCACCCCTAAATGTACCACTAAATAATTTCTATGAGTTTTCAAAATATGTTTCAAAATATATCCTACCCTGCAGGAGAGTTTTATGCTTATGGTGCTTCCACAGCGCTTCAGCATATAGCATAACAACTCTTACAGATGTCTTCCATTGTTCAGACTGACCCTTATTCATACCCACTCATGTGTACAGGGCACAAAATATCATTAGCCAACATTTTTCAACAAGAGTTGAAAACCAGACGTCTGTGTTTCTTGCAATTCCACTAAAAATGATTCAAATATCTTTGGGGTTTGACTTTTTTTTGTTGTTCTTTTTAACAGAAATTCAACAGTCACGGATACTACCAACCCCTCGTCAAAATATGGTCGTCAAAAACGACGGAGACGGAGACATCGGCCTCCCCCAATTAGTCGGGTAAGTCTCTTTTATAAAATTTCATTCTAATTGTGTGGCACAATAAGCAAAATCGTATGAAAATGCTAACATGAGCCCCTGACTCCGTATACTTGAAACAATCTTAGTTTAAGGATATCCAAGAAACTGTGTTAGAAATTAAAGATGAGTTTCCTTATATTTTAGTGTCAAATTAAACAAACTATTTGATTAATTGGTGTTTGTAGTTAATTATCATGTATTCTTAATCATATAATTATGTTCTTATTGCATATAATAAAGAGTTTTAACCAATCATAAGTCCATAAGTCCATGTCTGGATAAACAAAAAAAGACTTTTTGACCTTTCTTGATCGGTCACTCATTGGAATTCTGCTGGTAATTCTCTTCTAATTTAGCTAATTATGAATTAATTATGGACATGTGAGACAAACTGGTATATTTCCAAGTCATTAGAGCAACCTCTACTTTCATACAAGTATTAGCATTTTCATTTTCATCAATGAAAATGAGGGAAACCATCTTTAAAGGGGTCGCGAAATATGCTTGTATAGGATTTGATCTTAGTTCAGTTTTAGAGAATATGGCCCCAGGTGGATAATAATATAGAAATAATATCTGACCTATTTACTGCTCATAGATTTAAATTTACAGAAGTATAATGTCTTCATTAACTTGGAATTTATGAGTTGAAAACTTGTTGAAGCCATCAGCTTTCATCTGGAATTTCAATTATTTCTAATATTTTATGTTTGTTGGTTTAACTTATTGTCTGCTATAGAAATAAAAAAAACTTTTCTTAAAATTTTGAGAAAACTCCCTGATCTGCAGCAAATGTAGTATTTTCGTTGCAATATGTGGCATTTTAGACACTTAGTTTGGGTTTGATGCTATCAGGACTGTTGATTTGGATGTACTGGTATTTGCCAGACATGTCTGACTGGAGTTATTGTGACAATGATATGACATATCTGTTTCTAATGGATAAGATTGTAGATTTCGATTTTTCATAAGGTTGAAACTGGTATGTAAAATATTGATTGAAACTTGTTGACTGGTTAACAATCACTGGTTAAAGTTTTATGCAATGTTTCGATGTGTTTCCCCACGTCGTCAGGCACAGAATGATAAGAGATAACAGGCAAACTATGTATATATTCGATACTTATTATTAGAGTCTGACAAAAGCAAATTGAACACCCCGTCATTGAACTTGGGTCAATTTATTGTAACAGAGTGGATTTTTGATTAAAACAGAGATTTTAGATTGCAATAGAGTGGATTTTTAATTAAAACAGAGATTTTTGATTGAACATGACTTGATCATAGTGGATTTTTTAATTCCCTATTTTAATGTTAGATGCCATGCCACCTGAGTTTATCTGTTATTTTGTTGTATATTTCAGGCCTCCTCATTCAGCAGTATAACAGATTCCACCATGTCTCTTAATATTATTACAGTAGTTTTAAATATGGGTACGTCTCTTGTCTAACTTCCGTCTAATTACAGTCTTCTTACTTATATCTTCTGGCATGGTTTGAGAGAGTAAAATCTCATCATGCTGTAATAACGCATTTTCTCAAGTGATGCTGATCGAATGGCTTCAAAATAAAAACAATATTTAAACTTTATTTGAAAATATGTATATTTATGAGAAATATTTCAAATTATTCAAAATGAAACAGTGAAATTTTGTTCATAAATGTTCTTCAAACAAAAATTACTCAAGGTATTGATGTTATGAAGAAACATAAAATACAGTGTCCAAAAACAACAACCCAAGTTTAGTATTTGATGCCCCAGGTAATCTAGCATGGCCCTAATTATTAATGAGAAAGAGGATACTATTTAAAGGTAAAGTTGCTTAAAGTATGACCCCTATAATGAATTTATTTGTTTGTGTATTTCAGATACAGTCAATTTTCTAGGAATAAGTATAGTAGGTCAGAGTAACAAAGGAGGAGATGGGGGTATTTATGTTGGTTCCATCATGAAAGGGTAAGCATACTTCTCTTCTCAGTTTCAATCATGATCATTTAGATGTAGCAATTACACAGACCTTTAGATATTAATAGCTGCTTTGCAATACCTTTATCTTAGTATAAATAAAATTGAAAGATCAACAGACATCTTACTGAAAATTTAAATGATGTGTGCAATTAGTGTCCTTGATACACATAAAATGATTACAAAACCTCTTAAACCTTTATGATATATTTCATGCCTTAAGTTTAAAGCCCCATTATTGTCTTGCCATATCAAAACTCAAAACTAGTTTCTTTTTAACTTGAAGATCTTTGGATGTTTCAAACCAGTTTCCCCCCTGTTAGCGATGCAATTCAGAAATGAAAATGAAATGAATGGAGTTTTACGTCCTACTCTTCGATGCAATTCAGAGAGGCTGACAACGAAAGAGGATCTAAATGCTGTGCATGCTGGGAATCTTTTAACACTTGGAAATCGAAAAGAGTTGATTTATGCCACTTCCATCATTCCACTTTGAATGGTGTTGATAGTTCTCAGGAGCCCATAATGGTATAGAAAATTTGTCATAAAACTATTATCATTTCATTTTTTTTTTGCAGTGGAGCTGTGGCCCAAGATGGTCGAATTGAACCAGGTGATATGATATTAGAAGTGAATAATGTTAGCTTTGAAAATATGAGTAATGATGACGCTGTGAGAACTTTACGAGAAGCTGTCCAAAAACCAGGGTAGGAATTATATCTTTTTCTTCAAAACAAAGGATATGTTTATTTCTGTTGAGTATTTCCTTGGTAACATTGAGCGAACAGGGACTGTGAGTTCCGATATCGATTACATGTGATAGTCCGATAGTCAAAATAAGTCATCCTCACACATAATTCCAGTCGACCCAGCTGTAAATGGGTACGGATCATCTGGAAAAGCTCAATGCCAAGACAATTGCTCAATGCTTTATTATTTCCTTAACTCTCCAGTGTCTTGCCATTCAGGTAACTCTGGCCCAACCCAGTTAATCAGATAGATGTTATATTCAGATGGGATATCGTCAATAACTCTGGCCCAACCGAGTTCCTCAGACATGAATATTATGGGAGTCCAATTGTCAAATATATATGATATCTTTTGTCTCCAAGACAGGTTTCTCAAGTGTACATTATTTATTTTTCAGGCCCATCACCTTAGTTGTTGCCAAATGTTGGGATCCAAACCCTAAAGGATATTTTACCGTACCCAGACAAGAACCAGTGAGACCTATAGACCCGTCGGCCTGGGTGGCACATACGACGGCTTTACGAGAACAATATATGGGGGGTGGTACTATTAATTATATGGCTCGTCCGGGTGTAGCCAGTACATCGATTAGTAATATGACGTCTACCAGCTCATCTTTAACTAGTTCAATACCAGAATCAGAACGTAAGTCAAGTTTTAGTTTGTCTAACTTTCTAAACTTTCGTTTTTTTATTAGCTTTTATTTTTGATATAGCCACTTCAGTTAGGGTCTAAAGACAGACATTTTGTGAGAGAGTGATTGAATTAGATTGGTTAAAGCACATGTAATACGATTAGGTCAGAAGGCTATTTTGACGAATGGTTAAGGGGTTTGTCTTTAGACTCTAACTGAAGGATTCTGAATTAATGATTTAAAAGTTAATAAAAACAGAGCAAAAGTTTGGACTAATAATGATCAGACTGCGTTTTAATAATTATGATCATAAGAAAATAGTCTAAAATAGTTATTCTATTCATCTAAGTGCTAAACGTACATGAACCCATCAAAAATCAAAATGTCTTATTTTTTATCTCTTCTAAAAAGTAATTCCATATGTTAAAATTCACAACATAAGGACAAGAACAATACATATATATCCAAAATTACAACTCCATATTATGTCAAAGCCAAAATCTTGAGGACCAAACATCTGTATGTATCTCAATTGCTCAATGTTCTTAACAGATGGGATATCCTTACTAACTCTGGCCCAACCCAGTTCCTTAGACGTGATATAGTCACTTTGTTTCCGGATAGTTAGTTTTCATGGGAGTCTTTAGTTTTTGAGAATTTTCACCAAAAGTTATGACTCATTTGGCTTTGGTCATGGTTAAGATGGACTGGAGTTGTTTGGTTCATTATTTAGAGAAATAGACATTGTATTTGTCAGAATGCAGGTTAGCAATGAATAGTCTCATATCATTGTTTTCATTTCATTTATTTACTTCTGTTCAACCTTTTCCAGGATTTGATGACCTTAACCTTACAATAAATACTGATATGGAAACGGTTGTCAAGGCGATGGCTCAACCAGAATCTGGCTTAGAAATACGAGACAGAATGTGGCTCAAAATAACTATACCAAATGCTTTTATAGGTTTGTATTACTTTTTTATTTGAATCTTTAATTAAAGGAATTGTAAAGATGATTTTTAGATTTTTTATGTGTATCAGGGACACTGATGGCATCAATTTGCATCTTTCCAATTTTCAATCAGACGTCTTGGTTCTTGCAATTCCACTTAAACTAAGTGTTTGATGACGTCACTAATTGCGAAATAGTGATGTCATTAAATACTTGTTTTAGGGGAATTACAAGACCCAGAACATCTGACTTTTGAATATGAATGGTGAAAATTGATGATATCAGTGTCCCTGATACAATCCATTAACAAAATTACGGTCACAAGAGATAAATTTGCGCCATATGTTCAAATGGAAAGGATTTCTGAGTGTACATGATGCTAGTCTCTGACAACCAGACTCCCCTGCCTACAATGAGGATATAGTCTGGTATTATAGTTGAATTTAGTGTTACCACGCTTTCAAGGGAGATAACTACTCTTAAGTCTCAAACAACTTGTTTACAACAGAATCAAAATGGCAACCCCAACAAGTTTTGTCAGTATATATTACATATTTTTATTCATGAAGGTTGAATTTATTGATTTCTATCACCAAAACAGATACAGATTTACAACTAATCAGATTCAATAGCCACTGTAGACTAGGTTTTAAGATTTTAAGCAACTGGTCTAGGCCATCTTTTGTCGCAGCTGTGTGTAGCGTGGATACTAGACTAGAGAGGCTAGCATGAAACATAACCTAATTAGACATAATATTAATATATTATAGGTGCTGATTTAGTAGATTGGTTATTTACGCATGTGGAAGGTTTTGCCGACCGACGAGATGCGAGGAAATACGCATGTAATTTATTAAAAGCTAATTATATTCGCCATACTGTAAATAAATTAACCTTCTCGGAACAATGTTACTATGTCTTCGGTGACTTGAGAGGTGGTCCACCTGTTTACCCAGGTATGTATGATATTTTACTCACTTATAACACTTATGTTATGATAATGGAACTCAATTAGCACCTTAATTGAGATAATGGAACTCAATATGTGCTCAACATTATGTGTGTTCAGAGATATTTCTGTTCATTTTCGGGCTATAAATTGTAAAGCATTCAAAAGGTATCCTTAAAGGAACAGTTGTGCCATTTTGAGAGTTGATTTGAGTCTTGAATATATGTTAATGGTCTTCAGAAGTACTAGAAATGTAATTAAATCGCATAATTCCTTTAAAAAATACTCCAAAATAGGAATTTTACTCACCATTTCTATAATGTCTTTACTATATATCACAGAGTATCTTAAAACGAGTCATTTTAACATTCAAACGCAGATAGTTCTGAACACACATGGATTTGAAGGCTCAAATTTCAACAGTGAGCTGTGAACACTATTTATTATTGGCTTAACTTAAAAAAATTCCATTTCTGAGACAGAAGTATGATTGGTCAAAAGAATGGTGCAGCTGTCCCTGTAAACATCCTAAAACAAGCACAGTACCTCTCCTGTACATACCTGTAGAAGGATAAGCAAATAAATTATTAGTCTTCTAAGGTGCTATTAGTCTTTTGAGAGATAATAAGATCCACAATTAAGACATTTTTATATTTAGAAAATATTAAATCTTGATTTCTATTTCTTGTGATTTTGTATTTTTAGATTTAACCTCATTAAGTTTAGAAGATGTCGACTCAGTATCAGAGGCTGATCGCGATACGCTAGCCCCCTTACCACCGCCCTCCTGGAACAACCAATATCCATACAGTAGTTCCAACTATTTACCACAGAATTTAAGTTATATACCACCTTATAGTTATACCAGCACGGATAATACCAGTTATATTGGTAGCTTCGTGGATGGTATGGGACCGCCCCCACCTCCTGTGAGTGGAGGAGGCCCTGGTAGTGCTGGTAGTGTTCATAGTGCTTCTGGTAAGTACCTCCAAATTCTGAATATCAAATTTTCCTTCCCATATGAGAGCATATCCATTTATGATTCTAAATTACCTCCCTTAGTGTTGTGGATCCTTCATTTAGCAATTCTGAACAATCCCAGGATTGGATTTAACTTGCTTAAGGCACTACCATTCTTCAATAAACCATGCATTGGATCAAGCTTGCATGATTCACTACACCCTGGCTGCTGTGTGCTATACTAATCTCACAAGGGAGTTATTGGCGCTCTGACAGACGGGGGCATATTGTGTGTTGTGTCTCCTTAACCCTCACATGCCTCCCTATTTGACCTCCCATCCCATAATCCCACCCCCGCCCTGTTGATAATGTATCCAGTATGTACAGGTATAGTATAATATGATATCATCACTGTTCAGTTTTTTATTGTTATAAATCTACAGCAAGTCACTGTAATGTTTTCACTCAATGCAAAATATAATATATCAGACACTCTTTTTCTAATTCATAGCAAAATATATTTTTATTTTCTACCAAAATTTCTCGGTAGATGAAAGATTCATTAATGAAATTGGTTTTCTAGCCTTTTTCGTGTGTATCGGGCACACCTTTCACTAATAATTTAGACATCAATTCTTTGTCCAATGCCTGTGGTTCCTGGAATTCCAGAAAAACCTCTTTACAATCACTTTCACATCATGAGCCGATAGGCTTGAAAATTAGATCATTAACTTACCAATTAAGAAATTCTAATGGAAACAAAATCATATATAGTTAAATTTAGATCACTACTTTTTCACAGGTTTCTTTTTACAATGTTTCCCATGGGTTTTTTCAAATTAAGAATAGCAAAAATTACAGAAGAAAAAGAGCTTGTTACAGTAGTTATATTTTGATAAGAGAAAGAGTGTCTGATTATGTTATAAACCATTACTACATTGACTATGATATAATGCTTCTGCTAGTAAAATAAACCCTCAACTTTATACCCTGCCTCCTTCCTATTTCTAGCTAGCCTTTAATAATACTAATACTTCATAATATATACTTGATGAGTCTCCCCTTCAAGGGATTGTAAATAAGTTTTCTAAACTTTCTATATGTATAGAGGACACTAAAATCATTTATTTGCATCATTCCAATTTTCAGTCAAAGGTCTGTGGTTCCTGCAATTCCACTAAAACTAAGCGCTTTATGACCTAAAAGGACTTTTTCAATAGTGACATCATAAAACTTTGAAGTGGAATTGGATTAACCACAGACATCAGATTGAAAATTGGAATGGTGCAAATAGATATCATCAGTGTTTCGAATATACATAAATAGTTTAGAACACATCTTTACAATCCCTTTAATGCTGAAATAAGCATTTATAAATCCCTATAAGAAACATAGAAAGTTTAAGCATGTAAGGGTAACATAGTAGCAGTTAAAAGAAATTGAAATGAAAAACTGTTTTGCCAGGACAGCTTGTTATGGTTTGACTCTCAACTGTCAAGGCCTGTAATTATTGAAGAAATAAAAGTATTTGAAGATTTTAGTGTAAGATAGAGACAACGTATAAGGGCTCAGTCAGCTGTTCTTGATTGTTGTTTGTTAGGCAATAAGGTGCCACAGGTTTGAATCCCCTCATAGGCAAAAATGAACTGAAATGGAGATTTTTACGTCCACCTTTTTTGCACCATGTGGGCTATTAAAGACGGAAGAAAATATTTAATGTTGTGCCCTGATTCAGCTCTCAAGCCCTAACCATCATTATATTGTAGTTTAGAATGTACCACGCCTAACTCTTAGCAGTCTTAGCCTGAAAACAACATTAACTTGAAATAACTCAAAGTATATACATGTAGATTGCTTTTTAACATTTTAATATTACCTGGACATGTATCTTTCATTTGATGTTATAAAATAATTTGCTTTTTAATAGTCTGAAATAATGGAATATATTAAAAACATTTCTTTCGCCTATCTGTCACAATCATTACTTTTGATAGCCCTTAAAATAAGTTTGTTTGAATTAGATGCCTCAAGGTTTTAAAATATACAGTGATATAATTGATATTTAAGGGACAGCTAGGCCCCAAAATGGCACACCTGTCCCTTTTAGATTGACTGGAAAAGTTCAGATTGGTATTTAATTCATATTACATTATTCTGGAATTTCATGTTGATTTAAGTGCTTTCATTCACAGTAACTCCCACCTGTGATAAACTTGACTCAAAATATTTCATGTTGATCTAAGTGCCTTGATACATAGTAACTCCCATGTTGATCTAAGTGCCTTGATACACAGTAACTCTCATATTGATTTAGGTGCCTTGATACACAGTAACTCTCATGTTGATTTAGGTGCTTTCATACACAGTAACTCTCATGTTGATTTAGGTGCTTTCATACACAGTAACTCTCATGTTGATTTAGGTGCCTTGATACACAGTAACTCTCATGTTGATTTAGGTGCCTTGATACACAGTAACTCTCATGTTGATTTAGGTGCCTTGATACACAGTAACTCTCATGTTGATTTAGGTGCTTTCATACACAGTAACTCTCATGTTGATTTAGGTGCTTTCATACACAGTAACTCTCATGTTGATTTAGGTGCTTTCATACACAGTAACTCTCATGTTGATTTAGGTGCTTTCATACACAGTAACTCTCATGTTGATTTAGGTGCCTTGATACACAGTAACTCTCATGTTGATTTAGGTGCCTTGATACACAGTAACTCTCATGTTGATTTAGGTGCTTTCATACACAGTAACTCTCATGTTGATTTAGGTGCCTTGATACACAGTAACTCTCATGTTGATTAAGGTGCCTTGATACACAGTAACTCTCATGTTGATTTAGGTGCCTTGATACACAGTAACTCTCATGTTGATTTAGGTGCTTTCATACACAGTAACTCTCATGTTGATTTAGGTGCTTTGATACACAGTAACTCTCATGTTGATTTAGGTGCCTTGATACACAGTAACTCTCATGTTGATTTAGGTGCCTTGATACACAGTAACTCTCATGTTGATTTAGGTACCTTGATACACAGTAACTATCATGTGATTTAGGTGCCTTGATACACAGTAACTCTCATGTTGATTTAGGTGCCTTGATACACAGTAACTCTCATGTTGATTTAGGTGCCTTGATACACAGTAACTCTCATGTTGATTTAGGTGCTTTCATACACAGTAACTCTCATGTTGATTTAGGTGCCTTGATACACAGTAACTCTCATGTTGATTAAGGTGCCTTGATACACAGTAACTCTCATGTTGATTTAGGTGCCTTGATACACAGTAACTCACATGTTGATTTAGGTGCTTTCATACACAGTAACTCTCATGTTGATTTAGGTGCCTTGATACACAGTAACTCTCATGTTGATTTAGGTGCTTTCATACACAGTAACTCTCATGTTGATTTAGGTGCTTTCATACACAGTAACTCTCATGTTGATTTAGGTGCTTTCATACACAGTAACTCTCATGTTGATTTAGGTGCCTTGATACACAGTAACTCTCATGTTGATTTAGGTGCCTTGATACACAGCAACTCTCATGTTGATTTAGGTGCCTTGATACACAGCAACTCTCATGTTGATTTAGGTGCCTTGATACACAGTAACTCTCATGTTCATTTAGGTGCCTTGATACACAGTAACTCTCATGTTGATTTAGGTGCCTTGATACACAGCAACTCTCATGCTGATTTAGGTGCCTTGATACACAGCAACTCTCATGTTGATCTAAGTGCCTTGATACATAGTAACTCTCATGTTGATCTAAGTGCCCTGATACATAGTAACTCTCATGTTGATCTAAGTGCCCTGATCAGTTAGACCTGTAGTAGAGAGGAATTAAAAGAAGTCTGGTCACTATAGACATTGCCTGAATAATGTACTTGTACAATTAAAACATAACTTTTTGTCGAAGGAGGTTGTTTCAATAAAATAACTGTTGATGATTCTTGTATTTTGCATCGCGTACCTTTAGTGACCTTAAAAAGTAGCCCACCATACCCAAATTTCTCTTATGACCCCAATCTTACTTCCATATTACCTGCCAACCTCACCCCCTATTTTACAGCCTTCCTGCCCCCCATTTTACCCCCCATCTCATCCAAATCATCTCTTCTCTTCTGACTGACAATTTGGTTTTTAGTTTTCCACATTTTGTGTTTGCTGCACGCTTGTTTTTTGGTTTTTTATTTTATTTTAGTTTTAGCATGGTTTTTAGCATGGAGTTTTTCTAACACCATTTTGCTGTTGTTTTTTTTATTTTGCCTTGCCTTGTTGAATTTTGTAGAATTTGATGTAGTGTTTTAGGGTGGATTAGAATTTTTCTTCATTTCATGATCATTTAGAAACTTCACAGTAATACTGAAATATTTTTGAGGACTATAATATATTTATGTTTACTTGCCCTTCTGGAATATCAAAACCACTTGTTAAATATGTTATTCAAATTCATCATCTAGAAACATTGATATTTTCACAATATTACTGAAGTATTTTTGTAGATAGTTTGGGACCAGTATACTTATGCTTAAAAAACACCAAAACCACTTTTCCATTATGTTGTTCAAATTTGACATTAAATTATTAAGTTCACCAAAATTTCAAAATTATACCTGGGTTTATGTCTTCATAGTTTACAAATTTATAATTTGGTTTAATAATTGATTAAAAAGAATACAGTTAGAGACTGGTTACAAAACAAAAAATGTACATCCTCTTAAACGAACCTAAACATGAAAATTTCATTGGGTATGTGCAATATCACAATCCAATTTCGAATCTTATTAAGCTAGCAGAGATTTGTCAAAAATTGATTAGATGTTAACGCTTTTGAAAAATTAGATTACTTTGAACCTAGGAATGAAAACCAAACTATTTTAAACATTGTAATCCAGGTCACACAAAAGTTTTCTTCCTTTGCTCGTATGTTAGACATTAGCTAAACGATCATGAAATGAAGAAGAGCAGCTATGTATGTGTATGTTGTGGTAGCTGTTAATTATTTTGTTTGTTGTATTTTGATGTATTTACAGTCGTTACGGGTAAAGATTGTGCTTGTCTCGCCACTACGTATAATCATTTACGAAAACTGTGGGAGAATAAAGATAAACAAAACGCAGTGAAAACAACGTCAAGTAAACACCACGGTCAGCATGTCAGTAGTAAAAAACAGCATGATAGTTATAATAGTTCACAGTATTCTTCAGGTACAATACAATTTGTCCTTCAAAATGAAATAAATGGAGTTTTACATCCTACTTTTCTGAATTAAATCATTCATTTAACTTTGCTTTAACTCATGAAGACAAAAAATGAAAATAAAACAATGGATTTTATGTCCTGTTTTTCTGCACCTAATAGGCTAATTAAGACAGGCAACGCCATGCAGTGTGTGATGAGGGAAATTTTGCAAGGACACCAGTATCAGCCTACTTTCCAAATGTCGAGGGATCTTAAAAGTCCACAACCTGTAGCACACGGGGCCTCAGTATATTTCCAATTCTGAATGACTATATGCTTTTTCCTTATCAGTCCTAATTTGTGATTGTAAAGAGATGTGTATCAGGGACTCTGATAGCTCGGTTTGCACCATTTTTATTTTCAGTCAGTGCTCGTGCAATTTCATTAAAACTAAGTTTTTTATGACGTCAATATCATAAAATATCTTGTACAGGGACTCAAAGTTTCTAGCCTAATAAACCTTTTCCTATGTAGGCAGTTTACTCCTTGCAGTGTGAAATAAGGGAAACTTTGTGGAAACATTAATACTCATTAGCAAAGTATTAAAGGGTTTTTTTTACAGAAATGATAGGTAGCATTATTTTTTTGAATGAAATATCTATGACTATTAGAGAGCCTAATACTTTGATGAGTATTTGAAAATTCTTCATTATTGGGTTCTTGCCAGAAAATAGTATGAATCAATTGGTTTCAAATTAGGGTTCTTAATTATTCCATTAGCCCATGCTGTCATGGCCAGTTACTTTGATAACTCTCTATTAATTACATCCTTCATTTTGGTCAGTATGATAATGATAATACTTGTAAGATATTGAGAAGTATCACATCACATTAAGAGACAACAGTTTTATGGATATAAACTTCTATTTATTATTTAAACACAATGTTTCATCATTTAAGAACGTAACCTGTATGTCTAATACTCTAAAAACTCCATAAAATGTTTTTTCTTAATGTGATTAGATGCCTTATTTTGGTTTTGATAACATTCTTGTCCAGAAGTAAGGGGTGTTTTCTCGAAAGTTTTAGTCATATAAAGATGGTTTTCTCATTGTGTTCAATACTGGCCCTAGTTAATCCCTGGATTTAATGTTTCCAAGTTTTTAAATGTTAGATTAGTGTTGTCTTATATTTGTTCTTCACATTAGAACAAAATCATTTGTTGTTTCGTTAAAAACGCTTTTCTTAAAATAGTGTTTCTGTTGTTGACCTTGACCTTCAAATCATCAGCCATCATTCAATATTTCTGCACGCTTGCTTTCTACTCAGTCATTCATCTAGAATCTTCATGGCTTCAAGCAGAATGTATTAATCACGTTGGTACTCATCATCTAAATTTCATCATAATCTAAATTTATTTTTATTTTTTTCTCTAGATTGGGCTTACGCTTGGGCAATTTGGCTCTTTTAAGAAATCACAAAGCAAAACTTGTCATGTATCAATCTAAATTGCTCTCTACAAAGTTAATAAAAATCAATGAGGGAGGCAAAAGTTTTCACAAGTTCGAAAGTTGTTCCTTTTAATCATTCACTATAGTTAAAATTTTCAGTCTTGGTGTTCAAATATACATTTTCTTTTTCCACCAGTCCAAAATGCATGCCTGTGTATACCCATGAAATGGTCAACAACAGCCGACACTATTTTAAGTAAAACAATTTGTCATGACGACACGATAGAACATAACAACAACAATAAATTAACCAATCAAAACAAATCTACAGTATGTCAAGGTTAGTCATGTGATCAGAATAATAGTCATGTGGTCCTGGTAGTCATGTGATTATGTGATAGTGTCACAGTGATACTGGTAGTCATGTGATGCTTTTAGTCATGTGATGCTGTTAGTCCTGTGATCCTGATAATCATGTGATGCTGGTAGTCATGTGATGCTGGTAGTCATGTGATCATGGTAGTCATGTGATCCTGTGAGTCCTGTGATCCTGTTAGTCCTGTGATTGTTGTTAGTCGTATGATCAGCATTATCTGTTAGTGATTTGCTTAATGTAGTTGGTTTTGCTTTCAGTATTGTAGTATTTCATATATAATTGTATAAAAGTTATATTATATGACTGCAGAGTATATTTCTTTTAATTATTGTTTACCAAAAAACACAAAATTTGATGCTAAATTTTTTTATGTTGATAAAAATAGAAACTTCATTGGTTTAATCTTTCTGTACAGGTATATAAAAAAAAAGAACATTTGTTTTTAGTTGAAAATGTTTTTATGTTAACATGCATGTTGTAAAATGTTTTGTTTTGATATTGAGATTTTCGGTGTTGTGTGTATGTTTTATTAAACCATTGAAATAGATTAAGCTAGGGGCATAGTTTAATTATATTGCTAGTTCTGAGTATGGCTTACCTGTATTTACGGTATACAGCTTAAATGATGTAGGTCCCTCATTTCAAACTTCAATTGAAATTAAGAATCATGTTATATGCCTATAGTCAAATATATTTTGCTCTGGTCTGGTTTTGATCTTGAAATTGATTCATGTATTTTTTTTTGTCCTTTAAGACTATTTGTTCTTTTTAATGTTGTTCAAAACTTTTTCAACCCAACACTCAACAAGTCCTTGCCTAATGCTTTATACCTTATCCTTTTTAAACCCCTGACTCAAGGCTTACAATCCCTTGCTCAATCCACAACTGCTATTAATTTTGTGTACATTAGGTCTTATTAAATCTCAATGGATAATTGCTTTCAAATAAAGTATATTGAATTGTGTTTAGGAATATATGGGGAGACAGTAGGGTTGGGGATATACTGGTATCAAGATTAATACTGGTGTACGAATTCATATTCTTAAAAATATCCATGAAATATCGTTGAATTTTGTCAAGGTTTTTAACTTTATAGTTGACAGTTTTTTTTTTCATGATATTAAAGACAAGGGTGTTTATTTTAGAGATATTTATTCTTTTTTCTTACATTAAATTTTTAGATAGAAAAAATGAACCCAACATTTTGTTTCAAAACCAGTAAAATTTTAAGTAATATCTTGATATATACCCATATAGTGATATATTAATGCTTAATATCGTAATATCCACTTGAACCAATGTCACCCAGCCCTAGGAGACAGTACTAATCTGTAATCTATAACTCAGTCTGAATTTAATAAAACAATATATATTGAATAATGGCTAGGTATATATGTGGAACAGGTGCTTGATACTATTTATATACATGTAGATTTATATAGTGTATCTTTCTTATTTATGTATAGTTATCAACCTGGACAAGTATTCTCGAAACTATCTTAGCTCTAGGATATTCTAGAAACAATGTTAGAAGTTAAGACACTAGGATATTCTAGAAACAGTGTTAGAAGTTAAGACACTAGGATATTCTAGAAACAATGTTAGAAGTTAAGACACTAGGATATTCTAGAAACAGTGTTAGAAGTTAAGACACTAGGATATTCTAGAAACAATGTTAGAAGTTAAGACACTAGGATATCCTAGAAACAGTGTTAGAAGTTAAGACACTAGGACATCCTGGAAACAGTGTTAGAAGTCAAGACACTAGGACATCCTGGAAACAGTGTTAGAAGTTAAGACACTAGGACATCCTAATGCTAAGATCGATTCGAGAACACATGGCCCGGACTGTGTGAAGATTTTTGTATGTGGATCATCGAGAACAAAACTAGTCTCTGACGTCATGCCACAGGTGTTTTTTCACCAGCCACTAGTGAAAAAAGATACAAAATAATAAAATTCATCTACCATGAAATTTAGATTTATCTTCTCATGTCATTATTTATTTTTCTATTACAGGTAGCAGTGCCTCTGGAAGTAGTAAAAAAGAAAAAATGAAGGGTGATCGCAAATCATCGAGTCCAATGGGGAGCGGAGGGAGTGATACAGAGACTGCCAGTTTAGCTAGTGCCCGTCGTGGTGCCCCTAGTGAACAAAGTTTACCCCCTCCCCCAGGCGGAAATCTCAGTAATATCCCTCAAGAACTCTCTGCCAGTCGACAGTCTTTCAAAATGGCCATGGGAAATCCTTGTGAGTTTTTTGTTGATGTTATGTAAATATGGAATTATTTTAAGGGCTCCATTGTTGAAACTGGCTCTGGGGGGAGGGGTCATTTGGATTTTGGCTTTCACTGTAATATAAATAGATCTTGAATATATATCTTTTAAAATTATTTTAACACTTAATTTTTTTGCGCATTTGTTGTCTAAATTATTTTCAAATTTGAATTTTACAAAGATCGGCAACAAGACCTCCATTTGGGAAAAGACGGTAATGGGTGAAGCTTAAATCTAAGGTGAAGTCAAAAACAGAGCCAGTAATTCAAGGAAGTCTTAATTCATTGTTGTGCTTGTTTTAAAATTCTGTTTAATCTTATAATCATAGAGGAGACAAAGGTTTCATTTGCATGCAAGACTGATTTTATTTTACTTTATTTTACGTTAGTCATGTGATTTGACCATGTGACTTTTTAAGTCATGTGACAAGCCAATGTGACTTTTACGTCATTTGTATTTGTACATACAGTGTGATGAATAAAGGAATATGAAGTAATTAGCAGTTTGTAAAAAAAAAATATAACATCTTTCCATATTTTTGTCGTTCGAAATATTCAAGATGTATTTGTTCAATTTTATTTTTTGATTTTTTTTGTCTTTTCCTCTCTTTGCCTGTCATCTTTATCAGATTTTCAATGCCGCCATCTTTTTTCCTTGGTTAATGTCCTCATTATTTTATTTATTTATTGATTTCTCATTCATATTTTCACGTCCCTCATTTAAGAAAGTGTGTAGGCCTGTAGAGGAGTGAAGATATATATTTGCATATGTAAAATTCAAACATAATCACCTTTTGTTGATTGTCATTTGTATACACTTGAAGCCACATCGTTTGCTTTTGTGAACTGATTTTCACAGATTTTCTTTTGCCTTCACATAAATATTGTCCCTTAATGCCAAGACTGTTTTCTGCTTTGTCTTATTTACTAACATTGGTTCAGGCATGCCCTATGTCTTTGGAAAGTTTTGAGGGAAAGGAGAAGTGTAGGAACTTAAGGGTCCTCACACTATAGTGATTATCAGTTGTGTATGGTTACTAATAATGAAAGTGGTCATGAGTACCGAACACAATTCTCATGCAACTGAGTTGTGTGTTGTGTTTGGTACTTATGACTACTTTCATTATTAGTAACCATATGCAACTGGTTATGGCTATGGTGTTAGGGCACCTGTTACGAGCATTTTAGGCTATGTCCTTACCCTTGGGGTTTTTGGATAAATAGAGGAACTGGGGGAATCTGGTACGGCAACCTAGTTGAAATCAGGAACATTCTTCTGGCCAATTTTACTAGCATATTGAACATGACTGATTAGAATGCAAGGGATAGATCATCATAATTTCTAAAGTGCTGAAGGGGCCTTATCTTCGAAAAATTCAAATTATGAAAAAATACAGTAATATGATTGGATAAGAAACTCAGGATTAAAATATATTTTAGTGATGGACCAATCAGATGACTGGGATACGAAATCTTTAAGCTAAGTTTTCAAGAATAAGCCCCTGAGTAGCTGTTACTGAGATGTCCTATAAGATATTCATATCATATTCTATAAGTTATATTACTAGGAAGCCAGGGTTCCAGCTCATATCACAGTTCTGTAGCAAATTCTTTAAGCTGAAAATTCCCCTTTGCTTTCGATGTACAGCAAAATAAAGTGGAGTCCAAAAACTAACGCATGGTTTCGTCTATTTCTATTTTTAGCTCTATTAGAAGCGGATGATATTTTAGAATAGAGGCTACTAACAATGCAGATTACAGGCCAACTTAGCTCTAGAACCAAAATAACAACTGATCCAGGCTGTATTCATATCACCTAATAGCACTTTTAGCTTGGGCTTTTCAGTTCTCCCTCTTGTTATTCTAACCTATATTGGTTTGCTTATTTATATATTTTCTTCATGTTTTTACCACTGGATTGAACACAGTGCTAATCAACATGAGCAGTTATTTCAAAATTTTGTCTCAAACATTTTCATCAAAGAAATAATTTTTGTAATATTTTGATTTGAGATTTAAAAAAAAACCCAGAAAAATCGGAAAATGTTGAAAAAGCAACCATGTAGGGATTTCAAGAAAAATTAACTGTCTTTTATACTTGTTAGTCAAATCATTGTGACTGGCTAAAGTAAAGAAACAGAAGCCCTGCTCTGCTTTGGATTCCTTTTCTTTGATCTTTATATTATTCTAGTCTTTTTGTTACTAACTCATTTTTTATACATGCTTATAATCATATTATTGTTGTTTTTACAATGTTAAAGGTAAGGACTGTGAATCTGTTGTAAAATGGTTGTCAGGCCAACATGGGCTAGCTAATGTATTTTTAAAATGTTAAAGGTACGATCTCCTGGAATATCTAGAATTTGTGAAACATTGTTTGCCTATTGGAACTATGAATATTCAATTTAAATTGAAAGGGAAAATAAATAGGGAAAAATGTCTGAAGTTTTAATTGTTTGCTGATATTAAGCAAGGCTAATATTATTTACTTGACACCCCTCGAACTATTAATGAATTAATCTTAAGACATTGATAACACATTGTGTGGATTAGTTCATGTATAAAATTAGTAGTATTATCTCAACATTATGTAGAAAATAAAGAGGAGGCCAAAAGTGATATTAAAATAAGATATAGTAACCCTAAGTGGTTGCTATGCTAAGTCACAGCAGTATTTCAGCAGATTTGAAATAAAGGAAAGATAACTGAGAAAGATATTTAAACTTTCACTGCATGGTTTGTGCTGTTGTGTTTCCTTCAGTGTGCATCATATCTGAAGGGAGCTAACTCTTATTAGTTCAGATTTTTATTACCTTTCATTTTTACAAAACCACCAATTCCTCAATATAATTTTCATTTTGATTCCGAACATCAGCCAATCAAATTTCATCCCTCTCCAGACATGGGATTATGTGATGGGAAAAGAAGTAAAGACTAGTGTGTTCCGAGAAACATTAGACTTGTTTATCAAGGCTAAATTGTTCCAAACATTATTGAATCACAATTTTCAATTGGCTGTTCTTAATTGTACCAGTGTAATTTGATCGGTTAAAGCAGAGGTCATCAGGTTAGGGCAAAGGTTATTGTTACAAAGAAATAAAAGGTGAGTTGTTAAACCTTACTAGAGTGGTTGCCAGTGGCTTATATGGGAAACATCAGATGAGGGAGACAGAGAAAGGCTACAAAATTTTCCAGGTGGGCCACAGGTTATGCTTTCACTTTGCCCCACGTAGAAACTCGACTGGTGGTTGCGTAGATAAATAAAAGCTAATAAATACACAAAATGAAAATTTAGTCTAATTTTATTTCGATAGACCTTCATGATTACAAGGAAAACCTTGGAAGTCACAATTTTTTTTATATATTGTTTTCCTGAAAAAAATAATGGGGTTTCCTATAACCATTAACGGAATAAAAATCAAAAATGTTGTCCAAATTATGGCAAAATCGAGAGTAAAATTAGTATAGTATTGAACTTATTTAAAGAGAATTACCATCAGATGTTGTAAGTTTATTCTAGATTATTCTGTAGGATACAGTCAATACCTTCAGCATTGTAAAAATATGACATGAAATCATTGTATTCCATCTTTCATTTCACATCATTGTGTATTTATTTATTATCAACTTAAGGTACACACACTGGACATAAATATCAACCTAAAGATTTCTTTTACTGTTCAACATTAAAGGGATTGTTTAAGGAGGTTTTCTAACAAAAAAATATTTGTATCAGGGACACTGATAGCATCAATTTACACCATTCCAATTTTCAATCAGCGATTAGTGACATCATCAAACATTTCTTTTTTGTGGAATTGCAGGAACCATAAACATCTGATGAAATTGGAATGATGCGAATAGATGCTATCAGTGTCCCCGATACACGTGAAATATTTAGAAAACCTTGTTATAATCCCTTAAATATGAAATCAGTCTTTTAAATTTGAGGCAAAATTAAGAATAGATATGTTAGCATGAAGGTGGAGCTGTGGATACTATCACAGGCAATAAAAACACCCCTAATTTTATAAATGAACTTGTCTTATTAGATATAATACTGTATCATAATGATTGAAAGTATGCATGTGTGGAAGAGCTCAATATAGATACGAGGGGTGTCAGATACATATTTGCACATTATACACAGCTGTGCACAAATAATCAATCCTTGATTTTGCCTCGAGTTCAAATGACTATGTTGATGTCAGGGTGCTAACATCTAAGTAATTTTTGGTAAACAATAATTCACTGGAAACTTTATATCTTTAACATGCGTAGTTTCTATTCTTAAAAGCCATGAAATAGAACCAGGTTTATGATGGTCCAAAATAAACAGGTCTACAAGTTCAAATAATGGTCTCATATTTCCTGTTCTTTTTCTATTGATGTCATTTTGTATATTAATTTTAAACTCATCTGATCACAAGTCTTAAAATTTCATGATTTTGAGAAATCAACTTTAATAAAACACATGTAGAATATGATTCAGTTATTTTTATTTTTTAAATAATTCAATTAATGTGCTACTTTGTAAAAAGCAGAGGGTATTTATGATGATTTTTGCAGACATTTTATATTCTGTGTAAAAGTTATTGAGATTGTTATAGAACAAAGATAGCTATTATCCTGTAGACTCCAGTATAATTTTCTTAAAAAATCTTAAAACATAATTGTTAGAGATACCTTTCTTCAAAATGTAATATTTCCACTTCGACAGATGGGTCAATTTTGTTGAATGGATCGATGTAGTGGGTCCATCGTCCATTGATTAATGTAATCTATAAAAGTACATCAATAAAATCGTACCACTTCTCCCTACTAAACGATACTTGCTGGACTAATAAAATATGAGATTTTTGTCTGATAAAGATTTAGAAGAAAGTTATCTGTAATAATTATACTATTAGATTATCTTTAAAGGGACAGATTCGTCATTTTTGAGAGTTGATTTGAATCTTGATTTTATGAAAATTGTCTTCAGAAGCACTAGAAATGTAC